TTAATTGAAGCTTTCTTAGAATTTGTGGCACAAGAAAACATCTCCCCTGCCATATTTCTCATGCAGGAGCCCGTGTGTGTGTCAGTTTGTAGACTACCAGCAAATTCCAAGGGGATTTGGAACACAGCAGAATTGCCAACATGCTCCTCAAACATCTGCATCCTTCTATATAATATAGGTAATGTTACTGAAAATGCATACCTATATTATTAGCTCATCCAGGGTAGCTTCCTTATGACTTAACATTCTCTTGAGCCTCTCTTCTGGATTCAGTTTCCCATTGGCAGGTAACACAGTGCCATGCTGCCCTGAGGGTTTGGTCAGGGAATGCAAATTTAAATGGCACCTAAAGCTCCATCAGAATCTGCGCATTTGAGAATCAATGCTATCACCTGTCCTACCACTGTTGGTGACCACTGAGGTGGCAATGGCTGGCAACAGACTCTCCAATGAGACAGCATATGCAGGCATGTGGAACAATGCCACACACGTCCAGGCAGGCTTTTCTATATAGATCCTTACACTGCAATTACTACTATAATATCTCAACATCTAGAGTTCAGTATTGAACCTGGGCCTCCCATGTGGCAGGTTTGAATTCTATCACTGACACCTGCATTATTCCACCACCCTAGATGCTTAATGCTGGAAAGCATCTATTCCATAATATCCAGAACTTCATGCTGCATCTATTTCTCACCTTTTGTCTCTCAAGTGGACATCTCTAGACTCCCTCTTTCTGCTGTCCTCATCTCCAAAATGATAATATATGATGAGACAAACGCAAAAACAAAGATGGAAAGTGACTGCTTTCTCACAGGTCTGAAGCACCAAAATGCACTAGAGACTTTTTAGTGTGTTGCAGCAGGGTCTACAGGTAGTGCAGGGCAGGCTGCAGCACTGCAAATTTATACCTCAGCTTGCTGCACACTAAATGTTCAGCTAGATCTGTCCTTAGAGATGTGTTTAAATTAGTTTTAGATTTTATGGGTGAAGTTGTCAGCTGAGTCAGTGACAGTCATTGGAATCTTTGCAGATCACTTGTAACAGTACAGTATCAATAACCACAAGTCAGAAGATGATTAGAAATGAATTCATTATTTTGGAAGGGCCCTTAAGAAATCTAGAAAAAAAAAGAAAAGAAAATTCCATTCTAGGAATTGAATCCTTACTAAGAGATGCACCTCTAATTTTTCCCAAAGCACTTAATTGTTCTTCTCATTAAAAAGTATATGCTTCAGGAGAACTCTCTCAAAAGTGCTCTTTCTGCCAACCCCCAGAAGATGTTATTGTAACAAAATCTTCTACCTTGGTTGCCTCATTCTCTCAGGACTTTCAGTGCCAAAAGCCATCTTTGATAATTGCTCTTAATCTGTTGGCAATGGCCTCCAAAAGACATATATTATAGATATACTACAAAAAATGTTATATCTATACAGACTTTCCAAAGCAGATAATTACTAAAAGTGTTTTTCTGCATATATTAAGTTCCCATCTATATTATACACAGATTAAACATGGTTCTTGCTTACGGAACACGCAGGATTTAACATAATTTCTATCTCCAGGTCCTGCACTTTTCAGTATTAAAACATGTAAATCCCCATTTTAAAATGAGCACACATGCTTCTGTGTGTGTAAGATGTCCAATCAACTCTCATACTTTTCCACAAATGAAAAGCAGATGCTACATCAAAACATTGTAGCACTCGACAACTGTCACTGAGTATGCTACTGAAAATATTATACACCCTGAAGGAAAGTCTGGTCCTACTGAAGTGAAAGGGAGTTTTCACTTTGATGGAGGCAGGATTTATTTTATCCCCTGTATTCAGTGGGGAGAAAATAAGAGCTCTTCATCAGGCCCATGCTGAAAATTCAATATGAGGAAATTCTCAGCTGTTTCACTGTTTGAAAGAATAACCTCTGCCATGAAAGAGCAACAATTAACCCAGTTAGTTCTTATTCATAACATCTAAATCTGCTCACTTTTTGTGGTACAATACAGTATGAATCAAACTGAGTTCCAGTGGGTTGTGCCCATGAAAGCTCATGATACCATTTAGGATGAAATTTAATAATGACAAATACAAAGAACTCCATTTAGGAAGGAATATTCAGTTTCTCACATGCAGAAGGGGAAATGACAGTCTAGGAAGGAGTACTGCAGAAATGGATCTAGGGGTAAGAGTGGACCACAAGTTAAATATGAGTCAACAGTGTGGCACTGTTGAAAGAAAAAAAAAAGCAAACGTGATTCCGGGATGCGTTAACAGGAGTGTCATAAGCAAGACATGAGAAGTCATTCTTCCGCTCTACTCTGAGCTGATTACACCTCAGTTGAAGTATTGTGTCCAGTTATGGGCACATTTCAAGAAAGATATGGAGAAATTAGAGAAGGTCTAGAGAAGAGCAAAAAGAATGATTAAAGGTCTAGAAAACATGACCGGTGAGGAAAGACAGAAAGAACTGGGCTTATTAAGTTTAGAAAAGAGAAGACTAATAGGAGACATGATAGCAGCTTTCAAGTATCTAAAAGGGTGTTACAAGGAGGAGGGAGAAAAATTGTTCTCCTTGGCTTGTGATGATAGGACAAGAAGCACTGTGCTTAAATTCCAGCCAGAGATGTTTACGATGGACATTAGGAAAAACTTCCCAACTGTTAGGGTGGTTAAACACTGGAATAAATTGCCTACGGAGGTTGTGGAATCTCTATCACTGGAGATACTTAAGAGCAGGTTGGATAGACATCTATCAGGGATGATCTAGACTGGGGTGGGCAAGAGATGGCTAGTGGGCTGAATCTGGCCCACAACTGCCTGCCAGGACCCTTATTACAGAGCAGCTGCAGCCGCTTTAAATAGCCGGCTGCTAATTGATCTGCAAGCTGGCAGGGAGAAGAATGCTTCCTGCACTGTCTCCGCCTCCTAACAAACTCCCCAAGCTCCCACAGGCCAGCTTCTGGCCAATAGGAGATGAGAAATTTTGCTGGATGCAGGGGAAGCGAATGAAGCCTCCTCACTCCCTACTCTCCTCTCCTCTCCCCGTGCTGGAGCAGAGCCACGTGGAGTAGCCTCCACTTCCCCAGCACACAGGCAGGGAGTGTGTTTCAGGCTCCTAGAGAACTGCTGGCTGGGATCCGGCTAGGTAGGTGCCTCCCAGCCAGAGCCTGCCTCTGGCACCCCACATCCTCTTTCTCCCCAACTCTGTACCCCAGGCTACCACCCAAACTCTCTGTATCTCCTCTTCCACCTGTTCCAGTCACAGGTCCCTCCCAGACTCTGCACTCCCTCCTACATTCCTCCCCCAGACCAGAATTCTCTCCTGCACCCACACCTCTCTCTCCCCCTGCATCCCATTCCCCTGCCCCACGTCACCACCCAAACCCTCTGTACCCCCTTTTCCCTCTTCTCCCAGGTCACAACTACTTCCCAGATCCTGCACCCTCCTCTTTCACCCCTTCCCCAGGACAGAATCCTCTCTTGCACCCATAGCCTCTCCTGGATCATGAACCCCAAGCCCCCGCCCCAGATCACAACCCTCTCCTTTACCCAAACTCCCTCTCAGACCCCACGCCCTCTCCTGCACCCCTCTCCTCTATCTCAAGCTTCCTTCTACACCCCACCTGCAGACCCAAACCCTGTGCTCCTTCTACAGAAATTCAGCTCTTGACTACTTACCAAAATTGTAGAGTGGCCTCCTATTGAAAATTACTGTCCACTCCCGATCTAGAGAGTGCTTGGTCTGAGGGCAGGGGACTGGACTCGATGACCTCTTGAGGTCCTTTCCAGTTCTAGTAGTCTATGATTCTACATTTTTGTTAGTTCTAAGGTGCTGCAGGGCCATTTGTTGTTCTTTAAGTTTTTCCAGTATCATTGGCAGCAATTCCCAATGCAACACTTATGACAGGGTTGAATTGACTGCATGTCTTTTATAAGAATTTGCGTAAAGATAACAGGCAGACTAGAAGTCAGCAGATAAATCCATTATTGGTCCACAGACTGTCTGACTGCTTAACGGTAATACTGGATAAAGTATTCTTATTCAAATATTTTGACTTGTCAGTGGAAATTTAATAAACCATGAGAGCAAAGTCTATTTTTGCTCATAAATAAAGTTGGTTCTCCACAATTTGTAAATAATGAAGACAGCTCTCTGGCTGTTAGCTCTGCAGGTTCTGTAACAATACTCATTAAACTGAAAACCAAACACTGGTGACAAGCCTCCTGAATTAGATACAAATGTAACAAAAACTTTTTAAAAAGTAGTTCAAGCTTCTTTTCAAAGCGAGGTGACATTTTAGTGAAGATTAAAGTATAAGGCACATTGTTCATGGAAAACTGGTCATCTATACAGATGGTCAATTTTCTGTGTGAAGCCTTCATGTGCCAAAATCCATTTTAAAATAAAAAAATGTTTAGAAAGATGTAAGCACAACTACATAGATATTATGGTATTTACCTTTATCCCAGGAAGTCCAGGAAGCCCAGGAAGACCTGGTTCACCCTATACAGGAAAATTATATAACATCACAGAACAATATTATGATTGGTATTCAGAGAATAACCAGGTATACAATGCAGTTGGTACAGTATGTGATACTCTATATGAGATTGTTATTCATTTCAGGATTGCAGATAGTCAGGCCAACACAATGCAAATTGAAGGGCTTGCTAAAATAGAAGTATGACTAAAGCACATAAACTTGAATGCCTAAATTTAGTCTCCTAAAACTACAATTAAGGATTTAAACATCCCCTATGGATTTAGGAGCCTAACAAGACACATAGGTTGAAAATTCTGGCCAGCATTTTTATCAAAAGGAGAGAGAATTAATTAAATAAAACGAATACTGACATTTACTGCATTTGCAAAAGATATTTGATTCTATCCCCCATACAGATATTGCCTGTGTAGGGTGCTGTGTAACTGTCCAGTTTAGCAACAAAAGTGATTAAAAATAAGCTTAATTTAATTTGTACATTTTCAGGGGGATTACTCAATTATAATTAACTACAGCCTGAACCTTTCTAGTCCAACACCCTTAGGACTCAAATTCTAAGTGATCTAACTAAAGTTATTAAAAAGGACTCTTCAAGGAAAGACTTTTATTAAACACAGAAGAATTAAAAACACATTTCAATTAGTAGTGTTCTATTATAAAGCCCAGTGTAGCTGAACGGACAGTATTTCCAGTCCATAACCTTTTCCAAAAATATAAGTTCAATATGATGTATGAGATTAAATGATTTCAAGAAGCTGAATAAAAACTCCAGTTTATTGAACTGAAGTAACCAAATATTCTAAGTTGTATTCTAAGTTGTGGGCAAAACCTATAATGTATATGGCACATCCTTTTTTCATGTATTCACAGATATATTTAATTTAAACATGAAAATATCCTCACATTAGAATCAATACACAATTAAATAAGTAAATAAACTACATGGATCAAAGCCTGTCTTCATTATATTTACACTCAAATAGTGAATCTCATTTAAAGTGCAATACAGAAATGTTGATATGTATTTTCTAGTAATCTGTACTTGCATAGAATATATAAGAATGGGCAAACCCCCATTCCCTACTAACAACTTATTTAAGAAAAGCTCATCCTGTCTGCCAAGAGAATTTTGACTGGTAAGAACTACAGGACTATAGTGTTCCCTGCTTGGCAGACAGCAAATTAGAGTATGAATCTAAACATCTGAAGTGCATTCTATAGTTTATTATTAAAGTAGAACATATAGTACACCTATAGCTAATGATTCTATAGGTTAGCTAGCTAAAACTGCTTTCACTAGCTTTTCCTAATTGAAGCAGAACTTTACTAACACATGTAATTTGCATATCATAATAGTCTTATAAAGTCTGTTTCAAATCATTACAATTCAAATGTGCCATGTTCAGAAACTCAGCTGCAATTTTTTCTTTTACTGATTTAAAAAAAAAAAAGATTTCTCAGAGTTCCATATACTGTAGTCATAAAAAAGGAATGGAGTTTTAGAATAGAGTGGGCCTGATATTCCCTATATTCTAAACACGGTTTTACTTCTTCCCTGCCCTGAGTACTGGAAGCTCTCCAAAGTGTACCTTGCACAGTAAGAATCCAGTTCTCCTGTTGGGATGGGGAGATGTTTCTTACTTTTACAAGAGGTGGGGATGGTGAAAGGTTGCTCCAGGAAGCCCTGTAGACTCCAAAGGGAAGCCAAACTTCTATCCCACACATCCCAGGATTGCAGCAATAAAATCCAACCTCTCCTTGTTCCTTGAGGGATACATTGTCACTAGCTCTCTCATCTATGCCTGCATCCTATCCCATCCTCTGAAATAGGCTCAACGGCACAGAGAGGGCAGGCAATGCTGCTTGATGCACCATTGATTTCTTATTGGAAACATCCTAGGCTGAGAGGGTATCATGTCATATCGAACAGCTGCTCCCCCTCTACACCTCTGTCAACCAAAGAAACTTTGGCTGCACAGTGTCCAGTGAAAGGCTTCTTTGGACGCTAGCACAGAGTAGAGCTGCTTGCTTCTGACTTTTCAGTGCCTATGTCTGCCAGTTTAGCTCTTCTCTACTTCTCTAGTACAAGTGAAAGAACATCCAGCCATAGAGTCAATATTGATTTCAATTTAGTATGGTGAAATACCAGACTATAATCTCCAGGTCAGTATTTAGTCAAGCATGCAAGGGTCAGTTGTCCACATTCAGAGAGATAGCAAAGCCATTCTTTATTAGTTTCAGATAGTTGAGATTGTGCAAACTTTCTGTGTGGAAAAAAAATTGCCCTCTACTTGTAAGAGTGGATGGGTTAGCCTAATTCTCACTTCTCATTCTAGCCAGTATCATGTTTTTTCCAAACCCAAAATGATCACAAACAAAATGTGTGTAGACCTTGAGCAATCAGTACAATTGCAATCATTGCTACTATCAAACTAGTAATTTATTTTCAAGAGGGAATATCCTGTACTTTAAAAGTTGTAGATAAACAAGATTTTATCACAAGGTTAATCATGAGGAAAACAGGGACTGAATATTTCATGTATTACCTTTTGTCCAGGCCGACCAGATTCTCCAGGTTCTCCCTGATAGAAATATTAAACAAACAAACAAACAACCACAAGATCAGAGAAAAAGAAAAAAAATCAGAATTGGAGAAGAGGAAAAAAGTTATAAAATTATTTGTGGCAGGGATTAGAAAGCGACAGGCATTCTGCAAAACAAAAAGAAAAACAAAAACAAAAAACAAAAAAACACATACACACACCAATCGCCATAAACACAACATTACCTTAATTCCTGCAGCAGAAGATCCGGGGTCACCCTAATAAAAAATTCACAAGAAAACACTGATCACACTCAATATGTACATAGATTTCTCAGGAAACAGATATAACAAATACATGCATGATTATCCTGGAATCTTCTTAAGTACCTTTCAATTACTGTAGCAAGAATAAATATGTTTTGCGACATTGCATACCAATTTGACCATTTACAATACGTCAGCATTATTCAAAGAGAAACAATTCCGTATTCAAATAAATGCAGATGAGGGATTTGCTTTCCATTTGCTTGAAAAGTTTTACAACCAATAATGTAGCTGATATAATAAAAATGAATTTTAAAGAGATGTGCAGTAGGAAGCTAGAGGGTAGGGCTATGTCCCATCTTATTTTGACATCTCCAAATCTCTGGGGAGCAGGTAATTAAGGAAATCATATGCAAACACTTGGAAGGTAATAAAGTGATAGGGAATAGCCAGCATGGGTTTGTGAAGAACAAGTCATGCCAAACTAATCTGATAGCTTTCTTTGATAAGATAACGAGCCTTGTGGATAAGGGAGAAGCGGTGGATGTCATATACCTAGACTTTAGTAAGGCATTTGATACGGTCTCGCATGATATTCTTATTGATAAACTAGGCAAATATAACTTAGATAGGGCCACGATAAGGTGGGTGCATAATTGGCTGGATAACCGTAGTCAGAGAGTTGTTGTTAACGGTTCTAAATCCTGCTGGAAAGGGATAACAAGTGGAGTTCCTCAAGGGTCTGTTTTGGGACCCGTACTGTTCAATATCTTCATCAATGATGTAGATATTGGGATAGAGAGTACTCTTATTAAGTTTGCAGATGATACCAAACTGGGTGGGGTTGCAACTTCTTTGGAGGATAGGGACATAATTCAAAATGACCTTAGCAAGTTAGAGAAATGGTCGGAGGTAAACAGGATGAGGTTTAATAAGGAGAAATGCAGAGTGCTCCACTTAGGAAGGAACAATCAGTTCCATACATACAAGATGGGAAGCGACTGTCTAGGAAGGAGCATGGCGGAAAGGGATCTAGGGGTCATAGTGGACCACAAGTTGAATATGAGTCAACAGTGTGATGCTGTTGCCAAAAAAGCAAATATGATTCTAGGTTGTATCAACAGGTGTGTTGTAAGCAAAACTCGTGAAGTCATTCTGCCGCTCTATTCTGCACTAGTTAGGCCTCAGCTGGAGTACTGTGTCCAGTTCTGGGCGCCACATTTCAAGAAAGATGTGGAGAAATTGGAAAGGGTACAGAGAAGAGTGACAAGAATGATTAAAGGTCTAGAGAAGCCTATGAAGCCAGGCTTCATGAACTGGGCTTGTTTAGTTTGGAAAAAAGAAGATTAAGGGGGGACATGATAGTGGTTTTCAAATATCTAAAAGGGTGTCACAAGGAGGAAGGCGAAAATTTGTTCCTCTTGGTTTCTGAGGACAGGACATGGAGTAATGGGCTTAAAGTGCAGCAGGGGAGGTTTAGATTGGACATTAGGAAAAAATTCCTAACTGTCAGGGTGGTCAAATATTGGAATAAATTGCCAAGGGAGGTGGTGGAATCTCCCTCTCTGGAGATATTTAAGAACAGGTTAGATAGACATCTGTCAGGGATGGTGTAGACGGAGCTTGATCCTGCCTTGAGAGCGGGGGGCTGGACTCGATGACCTCTCGAGGTCCCTTCCAGTCCTATTATTCTATGATTCTATGATTCTAATACAATTTAAACTGTGAGTATAAAAACATCAGTTTTTGATCAGCCGTCCAGTGGTTCAGAAAAGCTGAATGAAGAGCCAGAGTGATTTATATTTTAAAAGCTGGTTTTTAATTTAAACAAATGTGTTTTGCTTGTACTCAGTGCAACTTCTGTGAATTATAATGAAAATTAAATAGTGCCATGTACTGTGTTCAAAATCTGTGTTCAAAATCTGACTAGATTTCCTTTTATTTATTGTAGCTTTGTATTCCAAGGGCAAAGAGAAAACAAAAGGACATTTTCTAAAAGGCTGATTCATGTCTGGAAATCTGAGCTGTCTTATTTTGATAGGCATGTATGAGCGATATTGCTGTTGTCCCTCACAGCACGTACCACTAATTTTTTAATAGCTATATGATAACAAAGCAACTGCAGAGAGATTGTTACAAGTCCAACATTTTAAGGGATAACCCTGGAAATAGCACAAATAAGGCACGAAAGTGTTTATAATCCACTTTCGTTCAAGAATGAAAACAAATACAGGATAAAAGTGAAAACTAAACAGCTAGAGCATGTTCTTCATGCCTCATTCAGTCAGCTGGCAATGAAAAAAATGTCAGCAGGAGAAAACACGAATGGAAGAGCACATCAAGGGGATTTTGTCTGCTTGAGAAGCCAATGATGAGAGCAGGAGAATGGAAGCAAGGACTAGTGAGTGGGTTTCAGTCAAGTCTGCCATAGACTCTGTATGTGATCTAAGACGACTCTATTATGCCAATGTTGTCAAATTGAATATATGCACACAAATTCATATTTACAGAGTAAGATCAGTGGGAGCTGCAGATGTGTATCATCTGTGAAAATGACACGGCTTTCATTTAGGTGCATAAAATATGGGCATATGTTCCTAACTTGTTGCATCCATGTTTGAAATTGTTACTTCTGCACCTCTCTGTGTCTCAGTATCCCTGTATATAAAATGGGAATAAATAATATGCATGTCACAGGAAGCTGTGAGTCTTAATGTTTGAGATCTTTGGATAAAGATACCATATAACTGCTCATTAATTATTATTTACTTCAATGATTTACTCATTGTTCATTCAGACAAAATGTATGCAGATTTACTGTATGGGGAGTGGACAAAAGAGAGAGTACTGGGTGAACTGACTCTAACCTTATTTCATCTCGGAACCTTATTTTTGGTGCAGACTAGTCTTGACCAATCATTTCAGCACAATGAAAACTTCTCTGGTTCCCTCTTTCCTCAGGCTCAGAGATCCCACCCCATGTTACCTTGACAATAAGGGTACGTCTAGATTACACTGAAGTTTCGAAAGAGGATATGCAAATTCTGTGGGAATTTGCATATCTTCTTCCAATCTCACTTTCAAGCTCATTTTTTTCAGCAACCTTCCCCTTTTTGAAAAAGCCACCCCCCCCCCTTTTGAAAAGCTGCTCTTCCTCAAAAAATTAGGTTGACGTGGCTTTTTCAAAAAGGGGAAGGTTGCTGAAAAAAATGAGCTTGAAAGTGAGATTGGAAGAAGATATGCAAATTCCCACAGAATTTGCATATCCTCTTTCGAAACTTCAGAGTAGTCTAGACATAGCCTGAGGCTCAATAAGTCTGTAAACCTCACTGAAGCTCTCCAGCTAAGTACTGCTTTGATGCTTTGTCCTAGAGATGTCCTTGAGTGCATCATATCTCAGAAGCCCAAGAGCCATCTAAATATCCCACGTTCCAAGACTTCTGAGGCATATGGTGCTTCCTGGATTAGCGATAGTATGGAAAACTTTGGCCAACACCCAATGTCAATGGTGCAGCAGCACGGACAGTAGAGAGATTTGCTGGAACACAGTGAGATGCTTCTATCAGGGCAAGAGGGAAAGGAGATAGCTTCTCATATCCCTACAAAGGGCTAGATGAGAAAGTGAAAGGCTTCTCATGGCACTACTTGGAGATCCTGCAACTATGTTGGAAGAGAAAGCAATAGAGCTTCCACCCATCTCCTTGGTATTAATGGGGAGAAGTGACTGATGGATCAAGAAAGGGAAGGAAAACAAGAGTTATTTGGGGAGTATGCTACTGTTGGTAGTTCTAATTAGGAGACGGCAATCATCTTGATTTATTTCTTCTGCAACTAACACAATTAGCAACCACTGGGCCAAATTAATCTCTGAGTATAATGACTGTCTAGAAGAGTGCAGGTCACTGGAGCAGTGCCCACAGGAGCACTGCTCCTAATTACATTGGTGCAAATGTGGAGTAATTACTGTGGCTTCAATGCTTACTCATTCCTAAACCTCTGCCTCAAAAAGATCTTCTCCTATGTTCCTTATCAAACAGTTCTTAATTGCAGAGATAGTCACCAGGGATATAATCAGAGAAGTTCTTTGGCCTTCTCCTATACCTTCACTGATCCATGGAAAGCCTGACTCCCTTTAATTCTGACTGGCAGATCTTTATGTTGGAGAAGTGGGAAGGAAACTGACCAAAGGTAGTTAGCTATGCCAAACCAGGAGATGTATCATAACAATAGGCCTGATGTTGATAAAGTAATGAGTGCCATACAAACACAATCTATCCATTCCCATTTCATACCAGTATTCCAGACAATTACAAAAAACTTGGACATGGTACGAGCATTATATTTCTGTTCAATTAATTCAGTTACATTTTTTTCAGATGAACATGCAAAAGGCTATCTGCTGACCAATTTTTTCTAAAAGTTCTTTTGAACTTGGCTACCAAACCATCTGAGATTCACACAAAAACAAACAAAATATCCTTCCAAAGCTGGACAATTTCTCAATAGAAAGAGGAAATTTTTTTTTTGGCAGGGGCGGGGGAGGGAATGCATGCCAAGTAAGTACTTCAGTAGCAGATACAAATGCTGCCCAAATATTATTGACTCTTGCTAGGATTTTGATTCCTAAGTGTGTTTTGAAGATAAGATTTATGTTCTTACATCAGTTAGGCACTGCAATGCTGAACACAGCAACACCTTTAAATATATGGGACTTTAATAACAAAAACATGCATAATTTACCAAACAGACATAACAAGAATAACTGATAGCTTGTGACCCAAGTTTCTGTGTGATGTATATTTAGAGGTTTATAAAAGATGCACTTTCAGGTCCCATGTTTAACTACTGTAGACCCACTGTACCTAATTAGAACTGATGAGTTTCTACTTTATGCAAGAATAAGTCGAAGTCAGACAATTTGACCTTAAAAAAAGTCTCTTTGTATATTTTCCTTTTGGTGCACCCCCTTTCATCTTCTGGTTAGATTTTATGGCCTGTAACATGTCTATTCACCTCTACATATTAACATATGTACCTTTTCACCTCTGTCACCTTTGGGTCCATTTTCTCCAGCATCACCCTAAAATTAAAAATAAGATCTTTGTCAAGCTGAATTTCACAGTTTTCGAAAGAAACGTACACAGAAATAATTTCCAATTTGCAAACACTATTACCAGGCTAACAGTTTTAATTCACTAGCCAGTGAATATAAAAATGGCTAAATAAATAAATGACTTCATAAGAAAACAAAACCAACTAAGTAAACACATGCATTTACCTTACCACTTTGTGTCTCAAACAAATGTAATAAGAAATTTACATAATTAATTCAGAGCCTACATTCAACTTAAATCCACTGGAGGAGAAAAACAGGAATTGATATATTTAATTTGGATTGGTACAATTAAAATTTGTTGATAAATATAATCTATAAATGGCCCAAAGAGTGCACCAGTGGACTCATGTTAAATAAAAGGAATTTTTATATAAGTAAAGAGTGCCTGTCGTTTGTAAAATATTTCTTAAGGAATTCTCTTTGCCAGGGCCATGATCCAGGTATGGGGCCCACGGCAAACCTCTTTGCCACAGGCCCTGCCCTGTCTCCACTCCACCTTGTTCCATGCCTTCACCAAACCCCACCCCTGCTCTACTTCTGCTGTGACTCTTCCTGTCTCTGTTCCACTCCCCTGATTCCTTCCCCAAGCAACGCAAAAATACCCGGGGCCAGGTGGCAGGAGAGGTCAGCCCTCCCCCTGCACTCACCACAGCAGCAGAGCCACCAGGAAGACCTACTCCACCACACTGTGCCACCCTCCTATCCCGCTGCACCTTGCTTCTTCATGGCAGCGAGAAGCAGAGTGCCCTATGGCCAGGAGAGGGCAGCGGAATAGAGCACTGCTGGGCTGCTCTGGATCCAGCTGCCACAGTGATGGGGTGTGTGTGGGGGGAGCAACCCTGCTGCTTCCCCACCCCAGGCTTCTGTAATCTCCCAGGTCCCTCCCATCCACAGGACAGCTGAGGTGGCCACTATCTGGGCCCCCGAAGTGTGGGGCCCAGGGTGGTCACCAAGAATCATGCTATGGATGGGACAGCTCTGATCGTCTTTTACAGATCAGTCCTCCGTCAGGAATTCGCAGGTCTTCAAAACAAGATAAACACAGGGAAAATGAAACATGCTTCACCTTTTCTCCACGTTCTCCAGGATCACCCTGATCAAAAGAGCGGAAACAAAGAAATCCTGAAGTCATGAACATAGGTAATGTTCAGTGTGTGTCATTAGATAACTCAACAGAAGAGCCATGAGACAAAAGAGAACATATTTCATGCAAGACACTATAGAGCAGCTGTATTTCATTTAATATCAGATTATTCAACAGAAGAGGCCATGTCAGAAAAGATTCAAAACTTAAAGCTGATGGGCTGCATCAATCCTTTACACGCAGTGCAAAACTCTGCTAACAAAGGCCAATCCGTTAGGAGGAAGTCTCCTCTTTGTCTTTTCACTTTGGATTAAGGCAGGTGAGGAATAACCTCATGGTTCTGTGAAGCAGCCCATCAGGACCAAGAGGAACCAGAGGGAAATGTGCCCAGTCCATTTTATTCTAGAGGGACTGACAGAAAGAAAAAAAAATGAAAAAGAGGGAGGGTCCTGAGGTTTGGAGATGAGTTTAGAGAACAATGAGAAATGTAAACCCCTTAAATATTTTATCTAGATTCATAATCTGGTAGCAAGACAAAGAGTATCTAGTGCTCCCTGTATTAAAAGACATCTTAAAGCCATTACTTTTCAAATCACAAGTTGTTTGAGAAGCGAGTTCAAGAGCAAATCCCTTTTCATGTACTGAATCTGACCCTGGCAACCCAGCTCTGTATTTTTGACAATTCTAGTTTATTCACACCTCCTTTGATGGCTGATGGTTGCTTGGCAACTTAAAGAATACTGCTGTGAATATGAATTAAGCAATAAATGCAATCACTTTGCTTTCACTGTGTATAAACCAAGAAAAGGATATGCCCCTAAATGGCAAATCACTACATTTTAAAAGACTGTCATGGCTAGCTGTCAATAGCAATGTGATTGGGAAAAATCAGCTGAGAGGCATATATGACCTGATAGACACAACTCATGGGATTAGAATTGGTATGATCCTGAGAGGCCCAATAATCAGCCCATTTTTGATATATCTGACTTGTTTTCGAACAATGTTATCAAGTTTTGTGTGTGCAATTTCATCTGTTTGGAATCAAGTAAGAAATAATAATTAGTAAAAAAACATGCAAGGCAACATTTTCTTTTTGCCATAACTAAAGATAAGAGCTGTAAAATGATTAACAATTAATTACCATTAATTGTGTGATTAAAAAACACTATTAAACAATAATAGAATACCATTTATTTAAATCTCTTCTGGATGTTTTGTACATTTTCAAATATATTGTTTTCAGTTTCAACAAAATGTACAGTGCTAACTTTATATTGACTTGTATTACAAATACTTGCCTATAAAAACATAAAACAAATATTTATTAATTCCCCGAATACAAGTACTGTACTGTAATCTGTTTATTATGAAAGTTGAATTTACAAATGTAGAATTATGTGCAAAAAACTTGCATTCAAAAATTTAAAAAATGTAAAACTTTAAAGCCTCCAAGCAGCAGAGCAGGAAGTCCACTCAGTCCTACTTCTTGTTCTGCCAATCACTCAGGGTATGTCTACACAGCAAAGTTATTTTGAAATAACAGCTGTTATTTCAAAATGACTTTCCTAGCATCTACACAGCCAAACTGCTATTTCAAAATTAATTCAAAATAGCAGAGCGCTTATTTTGAATTTGGTAAACCTTATTCCATGAGGAATAACGCCAAATTCGAAATAAGTGCTGTGTAGACACTTATATTGAAATAGGGGGCCTCCAGTCTTCCCAGCCTCAACCAACCGGAGCCCTTAAAGGGGTTGACTCTGGCCACAGTGCCTGTGTCAGCTCCAAGCCTGCCAGCCCAGAGCCAGCAGTCACTGCACCTGACCCAGTGGCTCCAAAACATGAGCCAGAACCCCACTGGCAGCCAGTCCTCCACCGCTCCCCAGGAGCAGTCTGCCAGCTCCCAAGAGCCTGCCAGGCCCAGAGAAGGTGAGTGCCTTCCTGCTCCAGGGTGGAGATCATGGACCTTATTCAGGTTTGGAGGGGATGTCCATGATCTCCACACTAGATGGAGGAATGCGGCCGTTTATGGCAGGCTAGCTGCTAGCTTGGCCACCAAAGGCCACATGCGAACCCAGGAGCAGGTTTGCATGACAATCAAGTTGGTCCAGCAAGACCCCCACTCCTGAGCTTCCCCTCCCCCCCTTCTTCCCCTTGCTTCCCCTTTCCAGCTCCCTCCTCCCAGGTTTTCCCCTCCCCTCTCCCACCCTCTCTTCTCCCCTCTCCAACCTCCTTTCCCCAGTCTCACCAGAGTTTCATTTCCTCCCCACCCCATCTAAACAGGTTTCCAAATTCCTAAACACTTGCATCATATTTTCCTTGCAGTGCATGCGTACTTGTCACTAACGTTGACTGGAATTAGGTATGTGCAGCAAAAGAACATGCCCTCCTACACTTTGCACTGTAGAGAGGCAGAACACTACAAATCAGTCAGCATATACAAGTCAAAATCCCATGATACCATCATCCATATACATGCCTATGCTGTGCTTTATTTTTCAATTGGTTTTTTGGACTAACCTTAAGCCCTGGTGCTCCACTTTCTCCCACTGCACCAGGCAAACCTGGCTCACCCTAAAATAACAATAAAGAGGTGGTGTTAAGAAAAAGATGAAGACTGTCAACAGTATTCCACATAATGTCTCCCATTGGATTTGTAGTAGTGATGGAGCAACCTCAAAAAGGGTTCAATTTGGATAAAACCTTAAAGGTTGGGATGTTTATATAAAGCTTACTGAACCTCTTGGGGTTGGTGTTGATCTCATTTACTCCAGTCTAAAGCAGGAATTACTCTATTGAAGTCAGTGAAGTTACAATGCTGACAAATAGTCCTGGAGAGGAAGATTAGAGTGCCTGAGTTGACAAAATTGACCAATATCTTTACAGATCTTTCTACGCAGATAGCTAGCACGTCCTCCTTCTCTTTGGCCAGGAAATACCAACAAATTTATGTTGGTACCTCTGGAAGACAAGTGTACAGAGGCATGTGAAAAGCATGTGTTAGCTTTCAATAAAGGCCAGTTCTAGAAGTGAAAGAGGTTTTGGAAAATAGGATGTTCATTTTATTTTTGAATATGAATTTGTTTGCTCAACTCTCATTCCCTTCTACTGAAGATGGAGAAACAGGACAGGACTTTTCAAAGATGCCAGGTTGGGATATCAGTAATTAAATAATAATTGAGTACTGCTTAATAGTGTTTGTTACATAGGCAGTCAAAAAAACTCCTTGCTTTTCCTAAGTGAAGCGATAGATAAGAATGTTGTTACTTACAACTTTTATACTTTATGAAATTTACCATGTTTTCCCCCTCCCATCTGTGTAGGTGAATGAAAACACCATTTAAAACTTCTAAATAAACACGATGAAGATGTCACCAGATTATTAAAAAGCTAGTAGAGCTAGCCAAACTAATAAGGTTGCCTATACAACCCTGCTTTACTAAATGACCTAATAAGGTTCCTCAGATAACCTTTAACCATAAACATGCACAGCACAGCTTACCTTCACTTGACGTTGATCAAATATGTTCAAAGGCATACAGGACACGATATTAAAAACATATTCAAGTCAGACTCCTAAATGTATATTTAGGTACCTAAATAAAGTGGTCTGATTTTAAGAAATGCTGAACTCATGGCAACTTCCAGACAGACACAAACATTAGACAGGGAACTGAGCTGACCAAACAAGAGGAAAAAACAAAACCAAGAAACCAGACAAAAAACAACCCTGCAGAAATATTCTCTTCTGCATGCACAGAAAAACTGGCAAAAAGCAACCAGTTTTGCAAGCCAAAATTAGAGGGCAATTAAAATGGAAACTGATTGCAACCACAACTATGGAGAGATTATAATCTTCCATTGCCAGACGCTTTTTCCATCCCTAATGCTACGGTCAATTATAAACCACAGTTCTGCAGTATCCATTCCTGACAATCATGTAGCATTCTATTTCTGAACTAGGTTACAAAAATATGTTATGTTTATCAAGAGCTGGGTAGTTTGAATAATACAAAATAAGAATATTGAGATTCTCCGCAAAGCATCTGTGACATTAAAGAGGGAAGTTTTTCCAGCAGAGTACCTTGTCACAGGGAGTTATACTGCTAATTCAATTCAGGCAATTCATTGCCATTGGTTCCTGGTATTTTTAATTGGGTCTAGCTTTGGATTGCCAACTTTAGTTGGATGTATTCCTGAAATTTCATGGCATGACAATCTTTAATTAAAGATTAATCTTTAATTCCTGGAGACTCCAGGACAATCATGGAGAGTTGGCAATATTAGGAGCCAGCTCTGGAAGCCATGAAGTCTGATCTATCAGTAATCTGGAATTTAAATATACTGGCTATCAAACATACGTGCTTGACAAAGGGCCAAACTAAAAGTCACTTAAAGACATTTGTAATTTGAGACACTGAGATGGACTAAGTACTTGTCTGTTTACTCATTTCTACACCACCCTTCCAAAAACGACTCATTGTTCATTTCTGTCCCCTTCACTTCAAAATAGCTGTTGTCTGCTGACACTTGCCAAGGGCTTAAGTCTCTAATCAACGTATCAGGGTTCCAAACTGCCACCTTTCCCCAAGGCCTGCATATCATTGGTATTAATGCCCATAGTTATCAGTATGGCAAAAAGAGGCTGCATATGTAGAGCAGAAAATTCACCTGATTTTCCTTGAAGCGAAATGCTGAAGCTTTAATCAAGCCACAGTAAATCCCTCCTAAAACAAAACTCCATCTCTGACCCTCCCCCACCCTTGTGGGTCTTTATAACTTACTCTGCCTAAGGAACAATATCCCCATTTAATTTCTCATCTTACACTTTTTCTGCAGCCTGTTTAGTTTCCTGAGAGCGCTGACGGGCCCTTGCCCCCTGCCTGAGGGTAGCACCTGGGCATAGAATGGCCCCAGCCTCTCATAGCTCCAGAGCTTCGGAAAGCTGGTGGGTGGCCTGGCCCCAAACCTGGAGTTCCAGAGAGCTGGTGGCAGTGGCACAGCTGCAGAGACAATGGGTAGCACAGCCACAGCCTCTCCTGGTCATGCATGCTGGCTGGATCCCCCAGTCCTGAAGCCAAGCTGCCAGCCCTAGTGCTGTGCAGCCAAAGCGGCCCCAACTTTGGGAGGACAAGTGGCATGGCCTCCAGCCTACCTGCCTCAGCCTCTCTGGCACTGGAGACTCTAGTGGAGCATGGGTGGGGCCAGGTGAGGCAGTTTTGGAAGGCACTACCTCCCCCTGGCTATACCAACTACCCATGTCCCTAGAGCCATGTTATTTTAGAAGCCCTGAAACCCTCTTCTCTCACCCACATATCTGGTCTTCCAGCCAAAGAGACTATCCACTATTTTAAAAAGTGTTACTTTTTACCAATGTGCACACAGAACCCTCCAGAAGATGGGGCCTAGAGGTATATAATACCCTCCCTCAGCTTGTTTGTATCACTGTCCTGTGCTAAACTTTCTTAAATGGTGGCCATGCAACCAATCAGCTACATCTCTCCTGCAGTGGGACACTGGTGAGAAACTAAAGATCTCTCCTTCCTCTGCAACTTGTTACAGATAATAATTCCGTCAAGAATTAGGGTGCTCTAAATGCTTATCTTGCTAACCTATTCCAAAATTCTTGCGATAGCCTTATGAAGAGTGATGTGACCACACAGCACAGGAGTGCCTTACATCTGCGGGGACGGAAGGGCATACAAAAATCCTTTCATAGCCCACCGAACGGTGGCCCAGCCCTGCAAAGAACCTATTACAAGCAAGGAAAGATAATCTCAACTGATTGAAAATGACAGAAACCTACAGTCTGGGTATCACTAAGCCTTAAGGAGACTGGATAACGCACTATGAACTGCAGCAAAACCACAAGGGAACACTGCAAGTTGCAAAGTTGTTTGTTTAGTGGAAAGTCACATCTCAAAGTGGGACACTGTCACGGGGCGAGCACTCACCCTTACAGCACTTCCAGTTGGTCACTCGGGGAATCAGTACTCCTGCCTCAGAATGCCCTCTGCTGGTCAGGGTCCCAGACTCTGTTGCAGGTCTTCTACTGGTTCCGCTTTGAGTACCTTCCCACCATGGTGCCCTTTCCTCCTCATACTGTCCTAGATCTGTGCCCCTGAATTCTGGTGTCCTTCACTTCCAGGGCCCCCCCAGTTCCCTATACCCAGCTTGCCTCTGTGACCCACTGCCAGTTATCTAGCCCCTGCCACTGCAGTCTAAAATGGCCACTCATTATTGGCAAGGGGGTGTGGACTTTCTGCCTTTGCCTTCCTTGGCTGCTTCCCTGCTGCCCTAGTATTCTCAGGCCTTACCTCAAACCCTGCAGCCTGGGAGTGAGATTAGACCAGAGCTTCCCAGCTCTGCCTGCCTTTCCCCAGCACTGCTGTCTCAGAAAGCCTCCAGCTTCCATGGTAGCTAGGTCCCTCCTGTTCTCCAGCTAGAGCAAGAGTCTCTTTGATCCTCCCTCCAGGAGCCCATATTTATATACAGCCCCAGCTGTGGGCTTCGTTCTCTCAGCACTCTCCCAGGGCTGAGTTTGAACCCTTAAAGGGCCCATGTGGGACAGACACCCCATTATAGACCCTATCACTCCAGCTATTATGGCTTTTAGCATGCTTCTCTGATATCTGTATACTATGGACCAAATTCTGCTCTTCAGTTGCATCATTGGAACTGAGGGCAGGATCTGGCACTATATGCTGATATTTTGGAAAGTTTCAGTTGTTCAAAGCCTTTAAAAATACAAAAACTCGACAACATTTCAAATACTCAGTTGATGAGGAAATTCCACAGGTAGTTATAAAAGCAAACCAGCAGCTGACATTTTAACTGCAGGTAGATTGATGATGCTTCCTCTGCCATACCCTTAAAACACAACATTATTTTGAGTGTATTGGTCCCAACTGGCCATTTCAGTATTTAGGCTGAAAATAATGTTGAATGCCTTTGTTACAAAGTATGGCATATTCCTTTATACATTTTTTAACCAACTACACATTTTAAAACTGTAATGTAAAACACTGCTTAGGTCTTTTTCAAACATTCAAGTAACAAAGAGTAACATAAAAATTTGTACCATTTACAGTGGAAAAGTGGTTACACCATTTTATAAGGAAACAAAACACCACAGGAAAAATCGGTACTTTAACAGTGCTATCGCATGCAGTCATTTCAATCTGTTAGTTTTTCAATTTGGCATTGGTAAAATGAAGAAAGCTGTGGATTTCAATCTTGAATCAAATACAATTTTACATTCACTATGCTGCAGTGGATGTGTCTCCTGACTAGCACTGAAGTATGTCCCCAGCACCGGAGCAATGACAATGAAAATGTTAGATTGTGGAAACTGTTCTGTGTATCTTTTAGCTCTATATTTTTTGGCATTTCCCCCCACAAACAGTTGTTCTGTTCACAGCACATTCCAAAGTTTAGGTAATGGTCCACTTGTATTTGTAAACTCCTGGGAAACAAAAGGCACTATTACGGGGAAAGGAGGGAGAGAAATTCACCTAGCAAACATATCCTATACTTTTTTAGGGCATAGGTAAAAATATAACCCAAGCACTACA